AAAAAGGGATGTAAATTATAGACAACACTTTCATCTCATTTTTCTTCTTTTATGTGCATTAACCTTGATATAAACTTCTTCACTAGACAATAATTTGTCTTTGCAGTTGTAGATTCAAAAGAAGCCTGTGGTCAATTTTATTTACTATTCAGAACTGTCAGTCTATGTTTGACTTTTCCACTGACGGGAACAATCATTTCTTTCAAAATTTAGCATAAAAGTCCAAGTCCAAGTTTTTGTCTGCATTAGTCCTTTGGTAGGAGACACTTGTGTTGTGATAAACACAGCTGAGGAGATTTAAGTACTGGTTTATCTTACCAGTCCAGTGGGTCCACCATGTCACAGGAGCACCTCAGTGGCCTTTCTGTGATCAGTATTAACAACGCAATTGCTGAGCAAAATGATGTGATTGACGACTTTGCATCAAGGAAGGTCAGGATTTAGCAGTTCTGCAATTTAGTTGCATATGTGTGCAATAGATTGTTGTTGTATTTGTGTGATACACAAGAAGGATTTGTGCAGTTTAGTTTTGTGTGCAATCTTTTTTAATGTGCTTTGCCTCCACTGCTACAACTCCATCCTGTCCTCTGAACACTACCTCTGTATAATGATGTAAATTGTAAATTTAGGCTCTAACTGACCGCCTGGCATCAGCCTCCATTTTCTTTTTCTTCTACATTTAATTTCAGATTCAGTGTTTGCTGTAGCTTTACAGACAACTGATGCTGACAGTGCACTTTCTACAAGCCTTTCTGCTGAAATCCTGTCTGTTTGTCTGAATATTATTTTCCTTCTCTCACATTCAGGTTGAGTCCAGAGGCAAAAGAAAAGAAGTGCTTCTTAAACTCTTGCCAGGACATTGGGATACTGGAGTTCTTGCCTTACCATAAGTGTGACGTCACATCAAGAGATCAGCCTGACTATCTCACATGTTTGGTTCGCTTGCAGGTCCAGAATATATCCGCCCGTTATCCTTTATTTATAACTGGTGAGATCCTGTTGAATTTATATTTTCACTGTTCCTTGACATTCAATGAGTCATGTGCTTTTATTTTGAAGGAGTTGTTTCTGAGGAACAAATGTGAATACACATAACGTAAAACATTAAATAGAAGTTTTTGCTCCGTGTCTGAGTTGCCCTGTGTTTTGGTTGTGTAGAAGTACAAAGGGAATAATGTGTATTTCTTGTTCTTACAGATACTGCAACAGACGGTGCATTTGGGAGAAATGGAATTATAACAATGACTGTTAACTCTTTCCTGACAAAGTCTCCAAGTGAAACTTTGTCATGACATTTTCTGACCTGAAAAAGTCTGATGGACTTTTCATTTCATCTCAAGTACCCATGAAATGACTCACTGGGTGTGAGGGCAAAACTGGTACTGGGGATTATAAGTGATTTCAGACATACTGCATACAAACTCATACTTATGTTCACCTACAGCAATACCTGTTGATCTGTTTTAATATGCTTCTCTGTATGTTTATTTGTTAAGTCAGTGATCATTCAGTTAATGGTTAAAACGACAATAATGCCAGTGTACATACTGTAA